GTCTTGTCCCTAAGCCACGTAGCATCTGCAGTGGCCCCCAGCAGGGAGGGCTGCTGTTCGTTGTCTCCTCCTTGTGTTATCCCTGATATTCCTGTCTCTCCCCAGCTTCCCCAGCCATCTTTGTCCTGTGACCCCAGATGTCTCTTTTCCCTGCCAAAGATCTCTGGCCCTTCACATGCTCCATGTGCAGAGGCCCTGGATCATCCTGTCATCTTTCTCTGTACATTTTCCAGGTTCACTGTATCCTAGGGAAGGGGGAACAATGATCACACACAGGCTGGGACTGACCAGGGAACAGTGGCAACTCTGATGTCATCTCTCCTTTTTCCTCACCCTTCCTATCAGCTTGATGGAGTTTTGCAGTTTTGACCTCTGCTGAGTGCTGAGGGGACAGTTTTACAGACTGTCAGATCTCCCAGTCCCAGAGCCTGACATGTTAGACATGAGCCTAGGCTTGATTTCCCCATGTGTGTCAGTTTCCTGACCCTAGCTTTTGTCTCATTTTATTGCCAGGTTGCTCAGCCTCTCAAAGTCCTCCTGCAATTCTTAGCATTCGTCCACAGTATCCAGATTAATTCAATATTATTGCAGATTTTGCCACTGACCTCATCTCATCAAAGGATCTGCATGTGGAAATGTAGGGACCTCTCTCTGCTGGATCACCCTCAGGGGCCTGCTAGCTTTTACCAAGAAAGCCGCTAGCTTTTGAAAAAAGAAATTTGCTGCAAGACAGCCGTGTCAACTCTTCTCCACTATGTCATATTTATCCATCTATCCCCTAACGATGCCAGTTTCCTCCTTCGTGCGCCAATTTTTATTCATTTGCAGAGAACAGATGTGTCATTTATCAGTCTGGAACTCCCTGGCTGCCAGGAAGCATTTCTGGTGTCACAGTTGTCACCTTCCAGTCTTTGCATCTCCTGCTGTACCCAGACCTTGAGGGAAGTTGGGGTCTCACCCGGCAGATATAACATCCTCCTGGTCCCTGCGGTGCTGCACAATGTGAGGTGCTCCTGGGAAGGGAAGGGAAGGAGCTGCAGTCACTAACAGACATTTAAAAGCTCCTGGGAATGGTTTTTATTTGAAACTGGAAGAAATACCCAAAGACTGAAGGAGCTGCAGACTTCCCTGGCAAGCCAGAGGAGATGCTGGCATCAGGGGAAGCAGCCAACCCAGTGCCTGACTCAAGTGATACGTGTGCAAGTGTCAGATTCAGCCCTCACGTTACCTGGGGGTGAGTAATCCAGGAGCGTGCAGGAGCAGAGACGTTCTCCTCTGAGTCACCAGAAGCTGCTGCCTGGGGGATGCTGGGCTGTGCCCACACCACCCAGGGTTAAACTAGAGGGGAAAGTTTACCAGGATGATGTGGCATGAGCCCTTCTAAACCCATGGAAGGTCCTATCTCCTGTTCTTGGCCCAGCTGACAAACAGGGCTCCTGTCCCCAGCTGCAGGTGAGCACTTGGAACACCCAGCATTCAGCCAAAGCAGCTCCCTGGGCCCAGGGGGAAAGACAAGGGCTGAGGACACACATAGCTCTCTGCTGGGCTGGCAGGAGCCTGGAAGACATTGCCTGGCTTTTTCTTCCTGATACATGCTCCAACCTGCCTGGATTTACCCAGGCAAGCAGCTACTGCTGCCTTCGGTGAGAGGAAGGGCCATGCTGTAAGAACCAGCCCAGAGATCTCAGGGAAGAGCTCCTGGTCCTTTCAGAGGTGGAGCAGAGGGTGGGAGCAGAGCTCCCAGTGCTGAGGGCCACCCCTGTGTCCTTGCAGACCACTGCAGAAGGCCTTCTGCCTCCCCTAGTCCTGTGGTCCATCAGAGTGAGCCACAAATCTGTTCTCTGCAGCCATGGGTTGTTTTCTTCCCACCTGAGGACTGTGTGTGAGCAGCTCCATCACTGTCCTTCCCTCCTTCCTGGGTGCTCCATGGGCTGTGGGCATTGCCAGGGCTGCACATTCCACCTGGGTGGGCTTCCTGCTACATCTTTGTGAGAGAGAAGCTGAAATGTGGAGTCTGGCATGTGAGTGGTGCAGTGTGTGCTCCCTGATCCTCTCCTGTCTGCCAGTCCTGCCCCTGTGCCCTGCCAGTCCCTACACCCACGATGCTGTGACAGCCATCTGTCACGGTGAGCCATGGTGACTCACAGACAGAGAGGCATGGTGGCCACCCTTGTGGTATCGGGGGCAGTCTCTTCAGTGCAGGCATCAGACCTGGGACCCAGTGTGCGTAGATACGGAGTGTGTAAACAGTTGGGATTGGAGCAGCATCAGCTGAAGCACAAGCTACAGATAGAGCCTGGCTTTGGTGGGGTGTACGCAGAAATCTGTCACTGCTCCTTCCCACCTGAACCACTGTGAGTGGAGGGACGTCACCAGGGTCTCGTTGTGACTGCAGAAAAAATAAGAGCAGCTCATGCCTGTGCCAAGCCATGCAGGGCATAAAGAGCTCATTTGGTCTCCTTCTGGAGACCCCTTAAAGCTTCCCAAGCACAAAGGAGTCTCCCAAGGGGGCTCCCAGATCAGATGAGTTCTCATCACCTGATGCCCTGCTGCCTGGGTAATTTTGCCCAGGGGAAGCCAATATCCAAGGGAAGTTCAAATCTGAGGGCTCAGCTGAGTCCAGGGATCTTGATGCCTCTTCTAGCTCTGCTGAAACCTGGTGTGAGAAGGTGATGCCCCATGGGGCACAGATCAGAGAACAGGGCTATCTTGGGCCAGGTGGCAGTTTGGAAGAGAAACAGGCCCAGCAAATGGTGAGGGGGTGCTGGAGTCCTTCGTCAGATCAGACCACAGGTCCTCATTGAATCTCAGTATGGCCTTGGCAAGTTGCCTCTCCAAGGAGGGAGGGATGTGAGGGATGTGCCTGGACCGGATGGGAAGGAAGAACATCTGCAATTCCTCTGGTATGGTCATGGTTAGGCTTCGCGAACGAAGATTTGAGAAGGGCTCTACCCACGCTTGCTGCAAGCGCGCTGATGGCTAAAAAGGCCAATGCGACTCCAATTGGGAGGCCTAGAGACACACCATCTATAATGCTGCTGTTTCTTTTGAGAACACACGCAGGATCACTCTCGAGGAGAAAAGACAACGCAGAAAGAATTGTGTCTTGTTGATATCATCTGGTATGGTAGTATTTAAAAAAAACCAAACACCACTACAAGCTCGATCCCTCCTCAGTTCTCTCTCTGAAAACACTGAGTGTGTGTTTTCCAGGCCTGAGGATTTAACAAGAGCCATCTCTGAGAGATGTTGCTGAACATCCTCTTTGGTTACTGACAGAAGATGGAAGTGCTCTCAATCTCTGTGCCATCAGCCCTGCATCCTGCTTCCTTCCAAATGCTGGACAGGCAGATTTATTGAGAATCTCTGTCTTTTCTGCATTTTAATAACAATCTCATCATCTGCATCTGCTGGGACTGAGGTCTGCTGCTAGACCTCAAACAATGCTTGGTGATCACTCTGTTTCTGGCAGATGGTTTTTTCCCCTCCTGATGCCTTTTGTGTCTTGCATTCCCTATGCTTTGAAACTTCCAGTGTGTGCTATGGCTCTCTTCTCCCTAGGGAAGAAGGTCCCTTGGTGTCCATTTGGACCCAGGGAATCTGGCTGGGTTTCTTGGGCAGAATGTGCTCAATAACTCAGCAAACCTGGGAGCTGGTGGGTTCCCTGGGCATGTGTTGAGCATGTACCATGCCAGGCTGGCACAAGAGGCTTGGTTCCATGGCAGCCCCATCCCCACTCTCTCCCTGCACAGGGCTGGAAGGAAGGAGGTCAACAAGAGAAGCTTCTGTCCCCAGCCATCCTCTCCTCCCAGCTGCAAGCACCCTGACAGCCAGATCCCAACCTCTGCCCCCAAAGAGGGGCTGGAGCGTGGCTCACAGTGTGAAGACATGCAGTAACATGCCGTGGCATCTATCCCTGCCCACTGGATGCCTCTGCAAGGCTTTACCTCTGCAGAGGTACTGCTCTTGGAACATCCTACTTCTGGCCCCTTCTCTCTTCATGTCCTTCAGGGGATTCAGCCTGCGAGCAGGGCTGGGAGCAGGTTTTAGAGAAGGGTGTGCATTTAGGAAGGGATGAAAGGATTCGGGAGTGTAGGTCAGAGGACAGGGCTGCACAGAGTGGCTGCTTGGGCTTAGGAGGGTACACAGTTGGTTCTGGGTGGTAGGTGAGCAAGAGGGTGGTGGTTGGTGACAGCTGTGCAGGGGGAACAGTCAGAATGTATGTCACCGTGCTGTTTGCCGCTGTGATCACATGGGTCTCTGCTGCTCCAACACACTGCTCCAAGAGCCTCCTTTCTGCTGCATCCCAGGGGATGTCCTCCAGCCCATGTGCTGGGGATCAGCTCTGCATGCTCGCCCCGACGTCCCCGCACATCCAGCCTGGGTTCAGCCTTCTGCCGAAGCACTTCCCTGCCTTGCCCCTGCTCACTCCTTCCCGCAGTGCCAGCCTGGTGGCTGTTTCAGATCGCTGCGGAGCGATCTGTTCCAGGGGTCCTGTAAGGGGCCGGTCCCACCACCACCTCCCAGGCAGCGGGTTTGCACCGCGAAGTTGGACTCGATGACCTTCGTGGTTCCTTCCAGCTGAGGACACTCTGTGATTCCAGGAGGGACCCTCTGTCGCCTCTACCTCGCCGGCTGCCTCCCCGGTGTCCCTTCTCCCGGCGCCGGGGGATGCCCCGGGGTGTCTGGGGGGCAGCGCCGGGGCCAGATCGCGCCCGAGGCCGCGCTGAGGGAGCCGAGAGTGCAGGGGGCGGCCCGGAGCGGCGGGGAGGGCCGAGCCTGGCCGGCCCGGGTGCGGCGGAAGGCGGAGGGGAGCGGGGCGGGCCCCGGGGGAGGCGGGCCGGGGAGGCCGCGCCGCACTCAGCGCCGCGCTGGTCCGCGCCGGGGGAAGCGGGCGCGGGGCCGTGGCGCGGGCGGGGCGGGGAGGCCCCGCACCCGGCGCTCCGGCAGGTGGCACTGGCCGCCTCCCCCGCGGCCCCCCCGGCCCCGCCGCCGTGCTCAGTCCGCCGGCGCCGATGCTGCTGAGCGGAGCGGCCGGATCGGAGCGCGGCGGCAGCGGCGGCGGGGCGGGGGCCGGCGGGGCACCGCAGTGCGTGGGCACCATGGCCCGCTGGCTCCGCGAGCACCTGGGCTTCCGCAGCGCCCGGCCCGCGCCCCCCGCGCCGCCCAAGCCCGACTACCGCGCCGGGCCGCCGCCGCAGCCGCCCCCGCCGCCCGGGGGCGCGGCCGAGCCGCTGGCCGCCGCCCAGCCCGACATCGTGGCGGCCTACCGGCTGCAGAAGGAGCGCGACTTCGAGGACCCCTACAGCGGCCCGCCGCCCTCCGCCGCCGCCCCCGACGGGCCCCGCTACGTCTCACCCAAGCACCGGCTCATCAAGGTGGAGGCGGTGGAGAAGGTGCCCTCCAGCCCCCCGCCGCCGCTGGTGCCCGCCGCCCCCAGCTCACCCCCGGCCGGCCCCGAGCCGCCCGACGAGCCGTCTCAGGAGGTGAGTGACCGGGCATGGGCGCCCCGCCGCCCTCCCCGTGGTGTGTTGGCACAGGGGATAGTCTGGGTGACTCCGCCGTGAGGAGCAGGACAAGGACCCCCGGGGCAGGTGGAGCGCCCCAGTCATGGAGATGCCCTCGGTGGTCCCGCCAGACCGCTGGCATCCACAGTAAGGAGCAGGGTTAGGATCCTCGAGCACCGAGCGGGGTGCGGTGTCACGGCCAGGCTCCGCAGGGCTCCCGTGCCGCGTCCCCCCGTGCCCCGGCAGCACCAACATGCCGGGCACACGTCAGCGGGCACGGGGGTGGCTCCGGGTCCTCCTGCGGCTGCCGCGGGAGGCAGGTACGAGCCCCAGCAGATAGCGCGCTCTCCGAGGGGCGAGAGCGCGGAGTTGCCGGCCACCTTCGCCCTCGTTTCGTGCCGTTTCCGTGCAGCCAAGTGCTTGGTGCTCTACGGAGGTGATATTCCAGCTTGAGAAGGCCCCGAGCGGCACAGGACCGTCTGCAGTGCCCTCCGATGCTGGGGCCGGTGACCCAGGACCTCCCAGCGCTCCGTGCCCGGTGGTGCGGGTCTCCCTGTGCCCCCTTGCCCGGGCTGCCAGTGCCAGCGGCGGCGGCTGGGCCCCCTGAGCTGCCAAGCTGCTTTGTCAGGGAGTGTCAGCGCCTCTTTGTCTACCGCCTCTCCGCCGGCTGCTCCGGGGCGAGAGCAGAGCCTGGCGCTCCCGGTGCCTGGCAAGGAGGCCAGGAACATCCCCAGTGAGAGGCAGGAGACTAGGAGAAGATTCCCGTGGGGAGACGGGCTGTGAGTGGCACAAGGACCTGGGGGGGGGATAAACCCAGCCGGGGCTGCGGCCGTTGGTGCCGAGCCTTTCGGCGGAGAGGCTGGTGCGGGGACTGCGCAAATAAAGACAGGAGGGGTTAATTAGTGCCCGCTAGCGCTGCCGCCTGCAAGACGGGGCTTGTCAGGCGAACTCGACGGGATTGCGGATCTGGCTGGCTGGATGGTGGAGGGAACGGTGGATACACTCAGTGATCCCATCCGTGGTCCTGGTGAAATGAGCACCGTGCAAAATCTGCTCGGGAGTGTTTTAAGCAGATAGAAGAACTTGTTGCTGGTGGATCTTTGAAAGTTGATTGTACTGACTAATTGCTTTTGGGAGGTTTCCAGAGGGGCCCAGCAGAGCCCCCCTTTTGAGCTTTGTAAACTGGTTGCTGTGGGCAGCAGAAGGGGTGGGGGGAGCTTTGACAGCAGGGACCCGAGATGCCACTGTGGTGCTGTGGTTTGCTGAGTTGGAATGGCTTTTCCTCTGGAACAGGCATTGAGGGAGCAGAGGGAGCAGGAGCGGGTGATTGTCATAGGAAGGACTCAGGCTGTGATGTGCAAAGGGGTGAGCAGGAGCTGCAGGAAGCGGGGACTGCTGACAGGTACAGCCAGGCTGTTCAGGCATCCAAAGGCTGTGCAGAATCTGGGAAGTTTAGAGAAAACTCGTATGCTGGGATACCTTTGGGGAACCCCTGCTAACAGGGCTAGGCTGAAGAAGAGCCTTGATCTTGTCCAAGATAGATGGTGATTAGATTACTGCTGGTCTCCTGCGTGCCTCTCTTGGGAGGAGGTTTCCTGGTACATGATGGACCCAGGCGGAGCTCCAGAGGCTGGTGAAGCTGGAGTGCTGACAGTGCCTGCAGCTGTCTGTTAAGATAGTTTCTCTGGAGAAGCCAGGGAGCATCCACCACATGGAGCATCTCTATTGGGCCAGAATGCCCTTTGCAGCTCCCATCTGCTGGCCTTGGTGCTGGGCTGAGCGGTGAGAGGGTTCCTCAGCTCTCCAACGTCATGGTGGCTCTTCTTGGAGGTGGTATAGGAGGATGGAGGTGCCTGCTGGAGGGTTACTGCTGCTAGTGACCCTTGGTCTTGGTGATGTCAAGGTGTTCTGGAGCAGGGAAAGGATGCTGGAGCTGGGCTGGAGCCTCTGCTGAGATGATGGTTGTGCAGGGGGATCAGTGCTCCCACGCCTAAGAGGCAGTGGGCACTGTTCCCTGCCTGCTGGGACTGGGACTCTAGACCCACAGGTGTGAGCCTTGGATTGTGGTGAACTGGAGATGACAAAGAACTATAATTCTGGGTACAGGCTAGGCTGCTGGAGCAGAGAGAGTTTTTGTTAATGATTGATGATGAAAATCACTCTAATAAAATGTGCAACCCTTCTGAGAGGGGATGATGAGGATGGACAGAAGTGGAAGGTTCCTCGTTTTGTGATTTGGCTGAGGCTGTGTGGTTTGGAGTACAGGCACTAGGTTGAGGCTGGGGGCTGACCACATTCCGTGGGAGTCCTGTGCTCGCTGTAGCTGACATGACCCTTCTGGAGAATGGAAGACGGGGTAGGAACATCTTGGCAATGGCATCCTTCCTGCCTGGGCTGCATGATGCTTTGCTGCTGTAGCATGAGCCGGCACATCTTTTCACCTTGTGTGGGATCTGCAGCATCTTGTGGAGACACTTTAGAGTGAGCTCTGCAATGGCTCCTGCTGTGTTCCAAACCCTGCTGGGCATGGTGAGGAGCAGCACAGGTCCTTTTCCATCTGTTTGGTCTGCCAGGCGTTTCCCCACAGAGTGGACAGTGGACAGTTCACCTGCACCAGATGGATGCCCTGAAGGTGTCTTCTCTGCCCTGTTTGGATTAGGTGCAAGGAGCACTGGAGTGCAGTGGGGAGAGATGCGATGAGGGACCTTCTTGCATGTGGACACCTGAACCTAGGGCACAGCATGCTTGAGGATGGTGTTGAGGATCTGCCTGGGGACATCTTTGTCCTGTGCCTGCCAGGACCAGTAGCTGCCGTTCTTGCTGTGAGCGCAGGGTCAGTGCCGCAGGGTGTGGGAACGGCCGACCAGGAAGCTCCTGGGCGTGTGTCTTTCCTGTGAGAGCCTCCTTGAACTGAGTCATCTTATGTGATGCTGTGCTGTCCACTCCCTGCTCCCACCTCCCATGGCATGAGTGCAGCCGTGGGCTCCTTGCCTGGCCCAGCCATGCCCTGTGGGCTGCAGACCAGACCCTTCTTGAAGCTGGTGCTGTGTTTACTTTTGGGTTTGGCTTCAGCACCTACCGAAAGCCAAGCTGCCAGATGGGTATAACTGGGGGAATTTTGCACCTGACAGAATGAACTGAATTTGGTTAAACCCAGCAACCTCCTGAGGAGACCCCAAATGTGCTTCATTTCCAGGGCAAGAAACTTGTTTTTAAAGTGAAGGATCTCCCAAGGTATTCTCTGGGAAGCTCTTTATAGAGTGGAGCATCTTGTGGCAGAATGTTTCTAGGCAAAATGGGGTGAAGAGCCCTAGCTCTGCACTGGGATCCCAGTGTTTGAACTGTGAATGCTCTTGGAGAGCTTTGGTCTGTTTCCTTTTACTGCAGCCGTTTGACTGTGAGAGCCCAGTGATGATCTGGTTCTTCACCTTAATTTGATTTTGATTTTTTTTTTTTCTTACGGTTGGCATAAATAATAGAGTGAGACTAGCCTCAGAGCTGCAGCAGGGATCTGGGTGTGCATTGCCATGGCAGATAGCACTCTGGGCAGATAGCACTCTATGGCAGATAACATATGGTTTGAAAAACACTCCTATGCTCAAGCAGGACATGTGTCCAGGTGCCAGCAGTTCCCAGCTGCTCCCTGAAGGACTGGTGTGCACCAAGAGCTGCCCTGGGGTGGTGGCTTTGCATGTCGGGCTTTTGCTTTGCACTCAAATTATTTCCAGTCTTGCAAAGCTTGTGCTGTGTATGAGCAGGCGATGCCTCTGTACCTAGGCGCTAGGATCAACAGGTGGTGAGCAGCATCCTCTGTGACATGGGACATGAACAAAGCATGGCAATGCCTTTGACCGAAGTGGAGAAGCCTGGGGCACCCCTGGGAGCTGCTCTGCCAGCGGCTGTGGCCCTCTCCTGTGCTGGGGAGCAGCTGTGTGTCCTGTGGCTGCTGCTGAGAGCCATGCATGCTTAGGATTAGGAAATGTCAGAGGTGCAGTTTCCTGGGCAACCCTAATTCGGCGCCACATGCAAGGGCATTAGGATGCACCCAGTAATGGTGTGATCCCTGCTGTTTGCCCCATTCCTGGCACTGGCTGGAGCCTCCAGCCCCTCCGCCTTGGGGTTCATGGTACCAGTTCTCGTGTGCTTGCTTGTGCATACCGAGGTTGTGATGCTCCTGGAGACAGGAATTGCCTCCCCACCTTTTCTGTGGCTTTTTACTATAATATCTGACCATTTAAAAAACAAGTGGGTTTATGTTCCCAGCATGCTACAGATGGTAGACCTCACTCCTACAAAGTGGCATCCTTGAGAGAGTGAGCCATTTGCTCTGGGTCCGAGGTAAGCCCAGCAAACCACATTCTCTGCCAGCAGAGCCTGTCTAGTCTCTGCTGGGTGCCTCTGAACCCCTCTGTGAGCAAAATACCCAGTTTTAGGGGTCTTGACAGAGACCTGTTAGGATTCTCTACCATCCTTTGCTTTCTAGACCTGGAGGCATGTGAGTGGGGGCCACTCTGTGAGCTAGCTGAAGCTCATGTATTCCTACTCTGAGAAGCCAGACCCAAATGCTGAAGGAATATGCTTGGAAATAAGGTTGGCCTTGATGATCTTGGAGGCCTTTTCCAACCTTAATGATTCTATGACAGAGAAATTACTGCAAGCAGGGGAGCCTCTCAGGCTTGTCTTGCCTGAAGCTGCTCTGTGCTCTGGGGCAGAGCGAGGGTCCAGGACTGGCACCAGCAGCCAGCTGGGTCTAGCAAAATGCATCTAGGAAATGGGGTTCATGGCAGGTTTGAATGTGAGCAGCTGGAGGAATGGACAGCTAACCCCTTTCTGAACCCAGAAGGGTCAACAAACTGCATTTCGCAACCCCCATCACACTTGAAGCCATGAGAGGTCTCTGCAAAGGCTGTGTCAGGCATGGTCCTGCCTGTTTGCCCACCTTGCCTGTTGAGCCATTTTAGGGGATTTGTATATGTAGTGAGGCTGGGGCTCACTACATGAGCTCGCTTGGCATGAGCATCTGTGTGAAGGTGATGTCATTGGCACTGGACTGTGCTCCACAGATGTGGCACAGAGAGAGCCTCTTTGCAGTTTTCGAGGTGTGGGAGGAGCCCATGGGACCTCCCAGGTGTTTGGAGCAGCATTGCTGATCTTTCTTTGGAATCTCACAGGCAGTAGGTGCGAAGCAGATCCTGGTGACCAAATAGCTGCAAAAGTTACGAGCAACTTGCATTTTTCCCTGGGGGGTTTTGCCCTGGTGGTGGCAAGCAAAGGGCTGAAGCCCCCTGGGATCAGTGTTGCCCCTTGGTGTCCCTGGTGCTTGGCAGGGCCTGAGCAATGCCACGTCATCCCTTGGATAATGAAGGTGAGAGCAGATTGCCTGTCTCCTGCTGCAAAGCCAGGGGTTGGCTGCTCCTGCAGCCTTGTCCCATCTCGCTGGCACCAGGCTGTGGCTCGGGTAGAGCTGGTATCCCTAGCAGCCATCTGTCCTGCTGCTGCCTTGCCACGGGGTGAGAGCATCTGCTGGCCCCCTATTCTGCTTGCCTGGGGTGGCTATGACCCCTGTGGCTGGTGGGATGTGCTCTGGGGATGATCTGCTTGCTCATGCCCTGGTATGGATGGACCAGACTTGGAGGACTGATCCAGGTCCCCACTGCATTGGCTGCCCAGGGAGCCGGGATGTTTAGGGAGGAGGTAGTGAGCTGGGCACAGAGACCCATGTTCCTCCTGTAGCTCATAGGGATGCAAAGGCTTGAGGCTGTATGGAGGTGTTTACAGCTCCAGTTCCTGTTCCCTTTTCCTGCTGGGTTTTGCTGCTACAGGCTATTGTTGGGCGTTTTGCACAGGAAGGAGGGAGAAGTGTTTTGTTTTAAGCCGATTATTGGAGCTGCAGAGGAATGTGTGAGCAGCCTTGATCTCTCCAAGGCTGTCCAGGAGCAGCGGCAGCATGGCAGTGAGGATGGAGCCTGGCCCTGGGTGGTAATCCCACCAACCGCCAGGCTGTGTTGGGGACATTTGGTTGTTACTGTGGGACATCTACATCTGTGTTGTGGTAACAAACTGGCCCCTAAGCTGGGGGTTTGCGTCCTGGTGGACTAGGTGCTTGGGTGCACTTGGATGCTGTTGGAAATATTGCCTGGCCACGTCTTGGGAGCAGGCTTTGGGGCTGGAGGTGGGATGTACAGCTGGGGCCTGGGAAGGAGCAGAGAGGAAGCTATAAGCTATTCTTAGCCCTTTTGTCAGAAAACCTTCAAAAGCACCCACAGGAGCCCTGGAAAACAACCAGTGAGTTCCCAGTTGTGCCAATACCAGCTGACACCCTTGTTCTGGGATCTGCACCCCTTCTCCACCTTGTGAGAGGAAATGTGGCTGTGTGCAGGTAGAGCATCTGTGTGCTATAGGGGGTATGGCCCCACTAGCAGCCCAGTGCCTCACCAGGACCCAGCTGGATGTCTGTGTGGGTGCTGCGAGTGCTGAGCCCCATCATGAGGGAGGGGGCCAGGCCACCTTCTGCTCTGCTTGGCTCCATCCCAGCCTTCGGGACAAAGGCTGGAGCATTTCCACGGCCAAGTGCTGGTGCCTGGAAAGCTGTCAGCTGCCAGCACCTGCTCTGGGGGGCTGCCATGATGTGGGTTTGGGCTCCCGGCAGCTGCTTTGACTGCTGCTAGCAGAGCTCGTGGTGAGCTCCCTACACCCCCCAAAAAAGTCAGGGACTGTCCTAACCCTTCTCCTATCCTTCCCCTCTTGCAGGTGGCTGTCCTGGAGGACTACGCCGATCCCTTCGATGCGGCGCAGGTGGCAGGTAGTCAGGCAGGGCTGGAGAAGGTGACCGAGAATGATGGATATATGGAGCCATATGAAGCCCAGAAGATGATGGCTGGTAAGGTGGAAGGCTCCATGCAAAGGCCACGCTTTGCACCTCTCTTTGGTCATGCAAACTCTCTCAGTTTAGTGGTCACTGTACTCTGTTCCTTGCAGCCTGTGACAGCACCAGGTCCGTCCTAGATAAGGCAAACCTGGGCAATTACTGTGATGGGGAACAGCCACTTCGTAGGCAGATTTTCCCAGTTTTATCCATGTGCACTGGGTTTGGCAGAGCCACAGCACTCAAAGGCTGCCTGGGCTGTACAGACACATCTCTCCCTGCGATGCTGCCCCCTGAGACCCCACTTGCCAGGCTGAGCCAGGAGAGACCTGATATTCTGTGCATCTGGCTTAAAACTAAGATGGATATGGGAGCTATTTAATTCTGTTAGGACTGGGCCAGAGCATGCTGTGTCTGCCGCAGCAGCAGGGTCCTCAGTGGGCATATTTAGGGCTGGGAAGCCAGTGAGGTGTGAGTGTGTGCTCCTGAAGGCAGCACTCAGGGTCATCATGCTGGCTTGTGCACTCCAGGCTCTGCTCTAGCTCGTCTTTGCAGTTCTGTGGTTTTCCTGGGGAAAGTGGTGGCTGGTAAGCTCATGTGGTTTTTTGGAGTAGACTGTTGTATTTCTTGGAAAAATCAGCAAGCAGTGAAGAGGCTGCTTGTGCCTGTGGGAGAGACTTTGTTTTGCTTGAAGGAAGGGCATTTTATTAAACTACCCACACTGGGTGTCTAGGGGAGAAACCCGGCCTAGCTGCTTGCAGGAAATCAGGCATGGGATGCTCTGTCCCCATGGATCCCATTTTGTAGGGCTGCCCAGGAGTGAGAATGATGTTGTACTATGGAGATCTTAGTGCTGTGAACTGCTCAGGCCCTGGCTGCCAAGCAGCTCCCCTGCTTTTGGCAGCTGCTTGCTGAAGGTTCGCGGGGGGTCTCCTCTATCACTGACACTTCCTTACCCCATTTCACCTCTGGGTGACATTGCACCCTGTCATTTAGCCGGGCTTTGGGGACTGTGGCCAGGCTATGTTGGGCAGAAAGCTCATGGTCTTTTCCCTCTTCTGCTGCCAGAGATCCGCCAGAAAGGCTTACGGGAAGCTCCTGCCCGGCCACTGCACCTCTATGACACTCCCTACGAGCCTGTGCAAGACATAGACAGTGAGCGCCCGACCTGCCCCTGGCCCAGGGAGTCCCGGCTGCCTGAGGATGACGAGAGGCCACCAGAGGAGTATGACCAGCCCTGGGAGTGGAAGAAGGAGCGGATCTCCAAAGCCTTCGCAGGTGAGTGATGGGGGCAGCCATAAAGCAATCAACTTTCTGTGAAGCTGGATTCTTGGGGTTCCTTCATCGTCTGGGGATCAGTAATGTTGGTGTCTGCATTTCTGTGGCTCAGGGAGTGCTCATGCTCTTGTAGAAGCTGCTTCTCTGAGCAGGGAGCTAGGCTGGACAGAGTGATGGATAGGACTGCCTTGGCTCCCTTTGCCTCTTCCCTGCTCTGACTGATCACAGCCTTTGGTGCAAATTAACCACCCCAACCCTGGATTGCAGGGGAGAGGCTCGGCCCTGGGCTCAAACAGATCCCTCCTTCCTGGGGGCAGGAGGATCCCCAAGGAGCTTTCGGCCAGACTTTGTCCAGCCTTCCTGACCTGTTTATCCATGCTGGGGGATCGATTGTGTTTGTGTTTGGTAATGAGGAAATCCATGCTGTGCATTAGTGCTGGCTCCTCCGCCAGTGCTGGCTAATTGCCATGCTCTTATCTAGGATGCATTTTAATTGCAGCACTGTGTGTGTCTGTGCTGCAACTGGCATACAGGGCATTCACACTGGCAATGCTGTGTGGAGATGCTGGCAGAGAGAGATGTGGAGGTTTGGGCTTGGGGAGTGGTTCACCTTTTGGGTTTGAGCACTGTGAGCTGGAGATGTGCTGGGTTCGATGGCGTAGTGTCTACTTGTTCCTGGGGTTGCTGTGCCAATGATTTGGCTTGTTGGGCTCCGTCATGGAACATGGTATGCTGCTGGGCTGGGTTTGTGCTGAGGTGTCTGTGCTCCAGATCTGGGCACATGAGCCACCTTGCTTGATGTTCCTGGGTGGAAGTGATGTGTTCTCAGGTCTGGCTCACATGTGGATGCACATGAGCACTGTCCAGGGTGCTTCAGGCCTTGCTCCAAGTCCTGAGGGAGTCAGATTGCCATGCCCTAGACCATGCTGGGACCTGCTGCCTGTTTTTTTCCTGAAGCCAGAGCAGTTCCTGCTGGATCTTGGAGGATGTTTTTCCCCTCCTGTGATGCCAAAATCTCTCTGCTGACCCTTTCCCCCTCTGGGGGGCCCATGGGACCCCTGTTGATGGACAGCTGGTACCGGAACAAGGCTAGAACCCATTGGCACCTGGCAGGGAAATGTGGATCACGTGGGTGGCTGGGAAGCCCCCAGGGCAAGATGAATGCAGGGGCAGGACAGATGGTAATGGGATGCTTGGCCAAGGTCCCCCAGAGGGGCACGTACGTTTAACAGGGTGGTCACAGCCTCCCCCACACCCCAGAGACAGCTGGAAAATCTGATGGAGGAGCAGAGTCCCTCCATCAGGCATGTGCCTTGCCTCAGGCCTGTCCCTGCTTGGTGCTGTGAAGGGGATGAGATGGCCAAGCTGACATGGGGCTCCTGGGAATTTAGTCCTCAGGTCTTTCCCCCCACAACTGCTCTCCTTCTCCATGGGCCCTCTCGTGTTGTTGATGGTTTTTTCTAAGCCCTTTCTTTCTCTCTTTCTCTTTCCCACAACCTCCCCTTTCTGCCCCCAATCTAGTTGAAATCAAGGTCATTAAAGACCTACCGTGGCCCCCACCGGTGGGACAGCTGGACAGCGGTGAAAGCCCCCCCGACAGTGAGGCCGGTGCCCCTGTCCCTCCACAGCACAGCCAGCACAGCTATGAAGACACCAATGGTGGGTCTTGCGTGACAGGGGGGTGTCTGGGGGGACTGCGCCGGCACTTACTATGACCCTGCCTTGCTACCACGCCTCAGAGCTTGCCCAGGGCACTGTGAGATGTCCACCCTCCTCCTCTGCTCTTCCCCAGCCATTCCTGGCCCCTTCAGTTGTCCTGTGCTGGACACCAGATGTTTGTCCTTGCCTGTCCTGCACCTTCTCCAGCTCCACTGTGCCTCTTTGCTCACAGCAGGGAATTATTTGGTGGCAGAGTTAATACCATCTCTTTTGTTTTCCTCTCTTTACCTCCAAATTCCCAGTGTTTGATGGCCACCTTTATGGTCGTCTCGACAACTGTTCTGAACATTTAGCTGATGTTTTCTTGCAACTCATAATGCCCAGCTCCCTTAGAGGTGTGCTAGCAGCTAGTTCAGGTCCCAGTGTGCTGAAGTTGGGGCTGTTTTTTCCCCTCTTCATCATTTAGCACTGCTCTGTTTCCTCTTCTGTTTTATTACCTTGCTGCTCAGTGGCAGGAGGTCCCTCTGGATTTTCCGCTCTCACTTTTGCTATCCTGAGCAGCCAAATCTCCCAGCTACACTTTGTCATCTCAGGTTTGCCTTGTGAAGCCTTTTTTGTGTGTACTGGGCACAGAGCCCCTGAGTAAATCCCCCTTGGACACTGCTGGCAGCCTTGCTTATGAAAGCCAAATATTGCTGCTTCTCTTTTAACCCTTTACTAGTATTTTAAAGACCTTGCTCTTATGCTGTGGGGGATTAGGATTTTGCCAAGAGCATTAGGTGGGGGCAGTGTGCTGAAAGGCACAACTGGGTTGTTACTGGGGGGAGCTGGGACATGAGGCGTGCCGTTCCTCTGCAGCAGCGTACTGTGCCTGCCCATGTGTCACTAACACTGTCCTGGTGGGCACTGCAATGTGCCAGGTGCCGATGCCTGATTTCCTTATCTACAGAGCTCTGTAGAATAAAACCAGTGTGGCCTTTGCTGCCTCCCAGGTGGGTTTGAGCATGAGGCTGCAGGTGACAGCTGATTTTGCTGCTGATAGTAGGGACACTCCAGAGCAAAGTGACCGCTGTGCCAGGGCTGTGTAGGGTATTTCCCTAATCCGTAGGGATGCTGCAGGCTGAAATCAGTCCTGAACAAGAAAGGTCTTGGCAGTTGGGAACTTCCTGATTCTCTTCCTGCAGTGAATGCAGGTGTAAAGAAAAATTAATCTCTTTGCTGTGCAGTCTCTTCTCTTCCTCCGTCATTTATTATCCCTGCAGTTGCTCTGACGTGCATTTTGCTCTTGATGAACGCATCAGTTTGTCATTTTTCCTGGGTTTAGCAACACAGAGTCTCTTTTTTTTTCCCCCTGACTTGCCTTGCTTTGTTGTGTTAAGTTTATCTTGCCAGAGTTTTGTCTCATTTTCTACTTCCCCTGTCTGGGGGTGAGTTGAATGTCTTGAAGGATGTCTTCTTCCTCCTAAGGCCTTGTTTTTAATATCCTGTTTAATCATGCACATGCCTCTGCCTCCCTCTGACAGGTGCAATGCATTTCTTATGAGCCTGTAACACAATGACTTTGTGCTGCCAGCAAACACTTGGGCTGTTTGATTGTCTGACTTTTTAATGATTGCCCCAATTTTTTAAGGTGATGAGTTGAAATTGAAGCCAAGGTGTGATGTACGAGGGTGAATGTGGCCTGTGAAAAGCCAGAGCACTGCAGAGGCAGTGCTTGTCAAGCCTTAATGCTGGGCACCACCTCCTCCCAGAGCTGCTGCTCGGGGGGGGGGGTTAAGCCGTGCTAAGATGCAGAGGATTTTGGCTGGGTTTGCTTTTGGCTGCCTTCCCCTCCTCTCAGTGCTGGGGGGGTGGAGTCCTGCTCGCCTGCATAGGGCCCAGACAAGGTGTCCCTCAAACATCCACCTTAGAAGATGCTAGAGAGGAAAACATCCCTCTCAGGGTATTTTTTACCTCTTCCTCCAGCAGCCAAGAAGCATGGGGAGGAGGGAAGTTGTCCAGTCTGGGACATCCCAGTTGTCCTGGGAGCTGCAGCTCCTGGGCTTGGCCACTTGGCAGGGTGACTGTGCTGCTACAGCATCAACCCCCCACAGCCCCACACCGAGGCAGCTCTGCCCAATCGATAAGTAATTTGTGAGAGGGGGCTGGCAGTGCAGGGGAGCAGTAATGAACTCTTGTGAGGAGGGAGAAACAATATTGTTAATGCTGAAATCATCCTCTGTGGAAATAACAGGCATCAGGAGGCTTGTCCCCAGGGCGTGGTCAGTCCCTTATACTCGCCGGGCAGGTGGCTGCATCAGAGAGGTCCCTGCAGTCAAAATATCCCCTTCCCACCTCAGGAAATTGTTTTCTCACCACAGCTTTTCTTGTGCCAGTAGAAATGTGTCCATCAGTTCCAAACCGACTGCTCCCTTTAGCTCCATCTATCCCCTCCTCTTTTTTTTTAATTTAATTTTTCTCCCCAAAACTGGGGAGCCTCTTCTTGCTGCATCTCACTTAGTTCTGTGCCACAGGTGCTGAATCTATGGTTGCATTAGCAAAACCTCCTGAGCTTTTGAAACCTCTCTGGAAATATTTTCCATGGGCCCATACCCTGGCCCCAGGCTTGGTGTGGTGGGCACCCAGCCTGGGCACTGCAGTGAGCAGCAGCCCAAGAGCTGCCCTTCCCTTGCTTAGAAAAAGGGGATGGGGGCACTGTGAGGGAATCCAGTGTGATATAACCTGTCTCTGGCTCTTCCCACAGGGGGAAAGCTGGGACCTGGCCTGTCCGCCTGTCCCTCCCCCAGCTGTGACAGGGGTCTGTCTTGCAGGTCCCTCCGAGGGGCTGGGCTACGGCTGCATGTCGCCCTGCAGGGAGGAGAAGGCCAGGGCTGCCCTGAGACACGGCTCCAGCAGCCTCAAGAGCACAAAGACGCTGATGGCTGAGCCAGGCCCCTATGTTGGGGAGAGGATTGACCCTGCCCTGCCCTTGGAGAGCCAGTGGTGAGTCCTGCCTGCCCCAAGTGGCTGCCTGACCCCTCCACCTGCCTCATGGATACCTGTGGATCCATGAGGAGCCCTGGGGGAGACCTGCTTCTTCCTTTCTTCCCTGGCCCCACATTCTGCCTGTTTGTCCCTTCCCCTTGTCCCCCAATCCCAGTGGTGCCACCCCCATCCCACTCTGTCCCCGGGGTGCTGGCATTGCTGCTTTCCCAGGGCAGAGCCCTTCCTGGGGTGTCTGCTCTGTGCCTGGCATAGCTGATCCCTCTCCCTGCTCTAGCTGGTACCATGGGGCCATCAGCCGGACGGATGCGGAGACTCTGCTGAGGCTGTGCAAGGAGGCCAGTTACCTGGTGCGCAACAGCGAGACCAGCAAGAACGACTTCTCCCTCTCCTTGAAGTGAGTGAGCAGGGGCTGAGGGGTCATGGACCCACAGCAGGGATGACCTGGTGGTGTGGGTGGGTACCCCAAGTAAACTTGTGCCCATGACAATTGAGTAGCTCTCAACCACAAGTGGTCAGAAATGGGTGGAACATGAAGTCCACACCTTTCTGTTGTGTGGCACAGGCTTCTGTTTTGGTGTCTGGCAAAAGCATCTCTTGGGAAGGCTTGGAGATCTGGAGGCCCACTGCTCTTCCTTGGCAGTGCTAGTAATCCTTCAGATGAATCAAACGATCTGCCTCACTGCTTACTTGAATGTGTCTGATTACCACTTCCAGCTTTGCCTTCTTTTTCCCCTTTTTTTGGTAGCTTAGTTTCATGGGAAAAGAAAGTTCGTGCGATCCCATTGTTGATGGAAATGTGGGTACCCATCCCTGCCTCCCCAGCCCATGGATTCATTGAAGCCATTGCTCAGTCACATTGTAGAGAGGGGGCTTTTCCCTGCTCTGATTTGCCAACAGGGACACCTCATCCCCACAGCGTGGCTTGGTTTCTGCTTGGGGTTTTTTTGGAGTTCTTCACATCCTCCCCAATTTTTCCAGATTCCCTGAATGCCAAAATTGCATGAAGCATTGCTGCAGCTCCTCATCCAGCTCTTTCCTGGCTCCTGGGGCAGCACAAACCCACGAAATCAAAGCTGTTACTGTCTGAAGATGATGATGGATGAGCAAATACCTTCTTGCCCTTCTGCTGGACAGCCATATTAGCTCTGTTCTGCCAGATGGGAAACAAGTATTTATGGAGCACTTCAGCCATCTCTGCCCAACAACAGGCCTCGTATTCCTGTGCTTTTCTCAATATACTTTGAGTTTCCCCAGTGGTCTCTCATACCTGCATTGTTCCTCAGGGCTTTCAGCCTCCCTGTTTATTTCCCAGTGGCACAACTGTGAATTACATTGCTCTGCCTCTCTCCATATTTTTTTTGTTCCACTCTTTTTGCTGCCTTTCACAACAAAACAGGGCAGAAGTTCTGCTGAAAGTATTCTTTCTTCCTTCTGCACTCGGAGCTTTCAGATCAGCCACCAAACCTTTCCAGAAAATCTCCCTCCTTTCCTTTTTTTATGTCAGAATTTTCACTGATGTTTTAATTTTCTCAACATTTTTTCCTTGCCCTGGCTTGTGAGCCATTTTGGAGCAACAGCTTCTTCTGGTTGGTGAGCTGTATTTGAGGCTGCGAGAGGTCTCACCATCACCTTGTGAGTGGCATTAGCCAGCATGTGTGTTGGAGAGCCTGGGAGGTGGCATTCCATCACCAAAGGTGGCTTTCCATCACCTCTCCACAGGCCAGTCATCTATTTATTGGTGGTTTTCCGCTTACTTCTTGCCACCCATCCTTAGTCTTGTGGCAAAATCCTCCTCTCAGGTGGTATATGTGGCTAGGATGTGGCTGCGCATCAGTGTGCCATCTCCCCAGAGGACACTGCAGCCCATCCAGGAGTTATTTGGGCATTGCCTGTCCTTGCCCACAGCCTCAGGAGCAGGATTTTTACTTCACTGCCTTTTTCGGTAGAGTCTGTTCAAAGAACATCCCCTGGGATGCTTTTTATGTAGCTTTAAGCTGGCTGTCTGCAGCTCTATTTTTTTTTAACTTTTCTTTTTTCTCCTTGCGTAAGGAGGCACAGCCGAGGAAATGGTCTGAAAAGAGCTCCTGATGCTAACCTGAAGCTCTTTTGTGCTGATTTAAAGAAAAATATGCACAAGAGAGAGCAGCAGGACCAGGTCAGGCAGCCAGAAGGACTTAACCCTGCTGTAACAGTCCTGGCTGATCCAGGCTAGGCAGCCCCACACTGCCTGTCATGGACAGGGTTATGTCATTGCCTTAGATGCTTGGAGGGTGATTCCCTCCTGGCCTATGCTTCCATGAGAGTGGCTGAGTCCACTGCAAAGGTGGGGTCCTTTCTCATGTCTCCAAGGTGCCAAGTAGGAGCAGCACTTGCCCCTTGCCCTGTCTGCTGGGGTTTGCAGTGTATTCCTTCAGGCTTCTCTCCAGGGATGTGCTTTCCACATCCCTGAGCTTATGACAAAGACCTGTGGAGCAATTTGGGCAAAACACAACTGGCATCACCTCTACATGGTCCCGTGTGGCAGTGCTCCAGATGCAGCCAAGGTCCCTGATGGGGGGCTGTGGCTGTCCACTCTGCCATCCCCTGGGACAGCTGGCTCCTTGCTTCTGTCTCTAAATGGATTGCAAACCCATCCTGCTAATGCAGCCAGGCTGTCCATTACGCCCGTCTCCAGCCAGGGGGATGGGGCCAGGCTGTGCAGCGCTGGAAGCCTGATGCAGGCTCGGCATCGCTGATGAGGCCCTGTCTGCTTTTAAGTCATCAGTATTTTGCTCTAATATGCATTCCAGACGCTGCAGACAGGCTGTGGCTCTCCTCAGAGACACAAATTAATAGCAACAGGGCCATTAGCCCATCACTTGGAATCATGGCAGGATCTGCCTTCACAACCTGGTGTGGCTCAGTGCCTGTGCTGTGCCAGGAAATGGCCTTGCTACGCTGAGTGGGTTTTATGGAGCCTGCAGCAGTGGTGTGGGGAGGGGGAGGAAGGAGAAAATCCTTTGGCTGCTGGCTGAAGGAGAAAATCCTGGTTTGCCACGGTGAGGCTGGAGATCTGTGAGCTGAAGGGGTTCTGTGTGAGCCAGAGTGGTTGCAAAAGGAGCTTTTCCACATGTGAAGGGTGAAAGCTGCTACCCCTATGTCAACCTGCAGTGAGAGCTGCTGTTGGTCCTGCCCAGGTGATGCCCTCACTTACCTACCCACACACACCTACCCAGCCTTGGCACCCCCACATGGACCCCACACACCCAACTGTGTGGGAACAGGAGCCAGCAGTCCCCCTCAGCTGCAGGGGCAGGCTGCCTGTCTTAGGTAAGGGGGTCAGGAGCTGAGGGGAGGCTTGGGCCACCTGTACCCCCTAACCCTGCCTTGATCTGCCCTTGCAGGAGCAGCCAGGGTTTCATGCACATGAAACTGTCCCGGACCCAGGAGAACAAGTACGTGCTGGGTCAGCACAGCCCGCCCTTCGACAGCGTGCCAGAGATCATCCATCACTACGCCAGCCGCAAGCTGCCCATCAAGGGGGCGGAGCACATGTCCTTGCTTTACCCGGTGGCAATCCGTACCCTATAGTACTCACCCCCTACGAGCCAGGCTCGAGGCTGGGTGTACCCAAAACCAGCCCATCTGCAGGGCCGAGCGCTGCCACGCCAAGGACGGGCTCCAGACCGTTGGCCCATGAGCAGCTCACTGGGCACAGCCAGCGCTGTTGGGGGATTGCTGCAGCCGGACCTCTCGTCCTGCTCTCTCGGAAGGCTCCCATGTGCTACTTTGCCCCCTGGCATGGCACCGGAGGGACCTCCTGTGCAAGGAGCTTAGTGGGGCTCGCCGGCTGCCTGCTGCCATCACCTGCCTCCAGGCAGAGCTCAAAACACAAGGACTGGAGCTGGGGCCTGGAAAAACCCAGGGAAGGGGGCAGTGGGTGCGAATACGGGGATAGATCATCTGGTAGCAGGCCTGAGGTGCCTCTGTGAGGGTGGCTGGCACTACCTGTGAGAGACAAAATGGCTGTGCCTGCAGGCAGGGAGGCTGGTGGGTGCGAGCGGGGCCTGCCTGGGGCTGTTGAGCTGTGGTGGGGGCTGGGCAGGCTGGCCCTCACCTGCACAAGTGCTCGGTACTCAATGCCATCCTTTGCCAAATGTAAATAGTGACTGGCCTGGGCTGCACATGCAGCACCACTGCCTAATAAAGCAGTGCATGGTCACCTCCTGCTCCACGGGAACTGTGCCCACGTCCCACCTCGAGTTGGAGCAACTGTGTGGCAAAAGGGCAGGGAGGGACGTTTTGTTACAAAAAAGCTCTAAGTGAAGTGATTTTTCCTGTGCTTTTGCATGCACTGAGACCCCCTGTGCCTAAGCCATCAGCTGACTCCTCAGAGACACAGGGGACAAGGGTGGTCACACCCTTGTGATGTCTTTGAGACCATTCGTGAGCAGTGATGAGCTGATTTTGGATAGGCCTGTTACTCCCTACAGAAGGGGGTGCTCTTCAGGATCTTTTGGCTCCTTGTTTTCCTTCACCTATTGTAAGTCTGAGGCAAAATCCCTGAATTTCAAAGATTTCCTGATCTCTTCCTCTGAGTATTTACTGACTCCGGTCCTGTTCTTTGTCTTCGTGACACCTTGTCTTTGAGCCAGCTTGCTCCTCTTTTTTTTGGCTGAAGCTCTATCTGGTGTTCTTTACTGTTTCATGCATACCTTGCCTTTTAAACTTGTTCCTGGTGTTGCTCCTGGACCCACAAATATACTTTTCCTCCATCCTTGTGTCAGCCTAAGCTCTATCCCACTGCTACTCCCTAGCAGCACATTCCCTTTCCTCTCTGCTCCCTCAATGGGGATGGCAGCAGCAAATTCGCTGCTGGAGCAACAAAACCTTCTCTGCGAGCAGAGCAAAGGGCTTGGGCATCAGTGGGATGAGTTAGCAGTGGCTTGATGAAGGCTTTGTGAAAAAGATCATTCTCCCCTCTGCCTGCTGCCAGGAAGAAGCTGGCCCTGCTGGTTGTCTGGAGGGGACAGAGGTGATGAATAAGACCACAGGGATCCTGTGGGGGTGGGTGCTGCAGCTGCAGCAGGAACCCTGCTTGACCATCCAGGGCTCTGGGGTATTACAGGCTCAATTTGTAGCTGGGGGATGGCTGTCCTGGCTTGCCCTTCACAGTTTGGAGCTGCTGGGGACCATCAGGCATGGCCAGTGTGGTATGTGAGTGCACTCTGTGGTTGAGAGCCTGCAGAGCTGTGGTGGCTTGTTCCAAGATGCCTCAGCCTCTGCCGCTCCTTAAAAGGCAGCAGATCGAGCTGGTCAGGCTCCTGGTGTCTCCTTACAGCCTGCTTGGCTGCTGGCAGCCCTGGCTGCCTCTCTCCATCATCCCAGGGAGGCATTTTGTCCAGCAGGGACAGAGGTGACTCCAGTAGGAGGGTTTTTTCTCCCAGAGCCTGCAGGAAGGGCTGGAGATGTAGAAATCTGAGGAGGTGCTCTTGGATGCCCTTGCTGCACTTAAAAGGTTTCTTGAGTGTCCTTTAGCAGCCCCACTGTGACATGATGGCTCCAGCAAGGAGCTCTTCCCAGGGGATCCTCTACTTTCTCTGTGGCTGGGTGAGCAGAGGCTTTTCGTGTCTGTGCAGCTGGGCAATAGAGGCACAGGAGAGCCTCTCCATGTAGAGGGGGGCTTTTTCCTCGAGGAGCTGTGGCAGGGAGCAAACTGCCTGGCAGCCACTGCTGGCTGTATCAGCAAGCTCATAGCCTTATGGTAAAATCCTGCCCTGTCAGCCTGGCTCCATCCCAGGCACAGGGATGAGAGGAGTGAGACTGTGTCATTGCAGCAGCTCCCCAGAACTGGTCACGGACCCCAGAATTGCTCTGCAAGCTGGGCTGTGTGTCCAAGTGCTTCAGCAAAGCAGCTCTTGATCCTCACTGTGGGAATTGCATCCCTCCTCAGCCCTCTCTTCTCCAGGCTAAAGAAGCAAAATTCCTCAAGTGCTTCCTCATACAAGATGTTCTCTGGCCTTGACCATCCTCATCAGGACTCTCTCCATGTACTTGGGGTCCAAAACTGGTCGGAGTTTCCAGGTGTGGCCTCACCAATGCCAAATAAAGGGAAATAACCCCTTCCTTTGTCCTGGCCACTGAAAATATATGACTCCAGATCTGGGTTGTGCACTGCACCCTTGACAATGGGAGCTGAACAGTAGCTCCCCAGAAAATTTATATTTAATCTCTCTTGTAAGGGTATTTTAGAGCTGCCTTTACCATCCTGTGACTGAAGTGAGTGTTGTGTGGGAGTGGGGTGGGTGAGGGCAGCCATCCAACAGGGCTAGAGACGTGACAGGGATCCCCATTCATGAGGATGCTAATCCCCAGGAGGGGCAAGGGCCTGAGCAATGTGATGTGGCTTTGAGGTTAACCCCGTTGGGAATGTGAAGGTTGACCAAAGGCCTTTGTTTGTAGCAATTCCGAATCCACTTGTCCCAGCAATGCCCGTGTCCTCCCAACTGCCTCTGTCCTTCCTCCTGGCAAGTGAAACAGCCCTGTCATTCATTGCCTGATCTCTAGTCTCTCACTAAGCCCTCCATAATCAGCAGGCTGGTTTAACATACTGCAGGCCCTGGTAATGAAGGAAGGAAGTTTGTTTTCTAATTGGATTCGTACTGCTGGGAACACACAGTGTCAGGGCTGAGCTGGCTCGTGCTGCTCTGGCTGGGTGTGGGCCAGCTTGGAGCTGTGCTTACCCTTGGACTTCCCTGACCAAAATCATGCTCAGAGATCTGTATCCTATGAAGATAGGTTGAAAGACTTGAGGCTGTTCAGCCTGGAGAGGAGAAGGCTTCATAGAGACCTTAGAGCCCCTTCCAGTGCCTGCAGGTGGTCTGAAAGCTGGAGAGGGACTTTGGACAAGGGTCTGGAGGGACAGGACAAGGGAAAATGGCTTCCCACTGCCAAAGGGCAGGGTTAGGTGGGATACTGGGAAGAAATTGTTGGCTGTGAGGGTGGGGAGGCCCTGGTCCAGGTTGGCCAGAGAAGTTGTGGCTGCCCATCCATGGAAGTGTCCAGGGCCAGGTTGGATGGGGCTCGGAGCAACCTGGTCTAGTGGAAGGTGTCTCTGCCCATGGCAGGGGGTGGAACGAGATGACCTTTAAGGTCCCCTCCAACCCAAACCATTCTGTGATCCTATGAAAAGATATAGTCTTGCAGGATGGAGGCAACTAAGAAGGATACAAGACTGACTGAGGGCAGAATTGGAGCTTGCCCTGCTGAGAAGCTGGGCTGTGTTTGCTGAACTCTGTTCCTGATATCTCCCACCTGCTGGAAATGGGGTGCTGTAGTTAGTGTCAAGCCTGAAATGACCCGTCCCAGTACAAGCCATTAATGCTCCTTAGTACCTTGGAGGCTGGAGAGAATCAACAGCAACTGATCTTTGTGGGACTGGGTTAAACCTTAGATGCGTTTAGGGTGTGCTCTGTCATCCATGCCCCATTCCTGCCCCTCTGGCCTGGAGAAGTTCCCTGAAGCCCAAGCCTAGTGATTAGTTTGAAACCTCAGCCCGAGCAGGGATGCTTAAGTTACTTGAATATCCCTGAGAACACAGTGCCCTATGTTCTGCCTCCAACCACAGCAATCTGCAGGAGTCAAATAACCCAACAGCTCAGCTGCTGGAGTTTAGAGCAAAAGAGAGAAATTTGTTCCTGATCCCGGCAGGCTATAGTGGAATGTGCAGGGAAGCACATACATAGCACACACAGTGCATATGGCACACACATGGTCCAACTGAATATATCCTTTCAAATCTTCTCCTAAAGACCAACAAGTTTGATCCAAGAGTAAGATTCAGCTCCTGACTTGGAGACCACCCTTGCTCGGTCCCTTCAATACCATTCCCAGCATCCTTTCAAAGCACTCACTTGCTCTTGGTGTCCTGTTTGAAAATTGTCCCAAGACAGTGATCGGATGCCTCCACCTAATTTTCACTCTGTGATAAAGTCTGTCTCCATTTGCTTTTTTACCTGGAACCTGGGTTTCCTTCAGGAAAACCTCAGAAAAACATGAAAGTCTAGATATGTTTGAATCCCTCTTTTCCACTTTCTGGTTGCTGCATTTGTTTGCGATTTGATCCATATCCATGTTATCCTAAACCTGGCCCTTCCTTCATGGGGAAAGGACATTGCTCCTTTTCTCCCTGATCTCATGCAGCCCCTCCTGCATTCACAGTGGGTCCTCAGCTGGTAGCTGTGCTCAGGCATTCTCTGCCCTTCTCATCCTGCTCAGCTCGATGACCTGCACAATGTAAGTCTTTCTCTTAATTCCCACCATAAATGTGTGCACGCTGCATTTTTCTCCATTCAGTGGCAATCTCTAACCTGTGCCTGTGTGGGACCGAGGGGCTCCCTGCTCATGTCCTGTCTCCCTGTTCCCAGTGCCTTTTGCACATCCACAGCACACTGTGATTTACTGCCTGTGCGTTGCAGCCTCTGCGCAGGCCCTGATTTACTGCTCACACCCAGCACAGTTTCCTCTGCACAGCCACAGCACGTCTGGCTTCATTGTGCTCTCTCTGACTGTGCACAGTGTGTCCTGATTCACAGGGAAGGCTCCTTCATCTCTTTGCCTCCACAAGAGCAACATCTGAGCAACCCCCAACTCTAGCTGCTAATTTGTGGCAAAGATTGCAGGTTCTGTGCTGCACCTAATTCCCTTTTCCTTCTGCATATGCAGGCTGTCAGAACCTCCCCTGCCCCCATCTATTTAGCCCTTTTCATAACTGTGTCCTACAAGGGCTAAGGTGCAGCCTGGCATTACCATCCCAGGCTGTCCTGGTTCATCCTGCTCTAGAAACCATGGACTGAGCAGTGACTGGGTGTTAAAGTCCTGCCAGAGGTAATGGAGGATGTCTCTGGCAGGCAGCAAGACCCAGTGTCCTGCCCGCTGTCATTTAGGCCTGTGTCCCAGGGTGCCACCAAACTGCAGCTCCAATAAGTGAGGTATTCTCAGGAGATGTTTATGAGTTCCAAAGGACTTCTCTACTGACCTGTTGGATTGGGAGAGCAAAAGGGGGAAATTGGGAGATCGGAGCCTGCAGAAGTGCTTCAGAGGGAACCTTGAAGTCGAAAGGAGAGGGTTGTCAAAGTTGCCGTCTGTGCCCACCAAGAAATGTGGGGAAGGTGTGACCCACAGCCATGGCTACAGAGGCCTATGAAGGAGGCAGATGAGGGCCAGGGTCTCCCATCCCTTGCCCTGGAGATGTCTCCAGCCCTGTTTGTTGATGCTGGTGACCACAGCATGCAGGGAGAGCTGCCATCTGGAACAGGCTGGGGCTGGGAAGGAGGGAGGTACAAGTTGAAACTTCTGTTTGTTGTAGGGAAGGTGATTCCTGGTTTTCTTCTTTTTTTCCGGAAAAGGGCTGAGCTAAAAAGCACCTTGTGGTCTTCTGCTGTGACTTGTAGCTGAGCTCTCAGGTGCCACAGGCTGGGGGAAATCGTTGAGGTAGACCAGGGAGGTTTGGAGACCGCATCACCCACAAAATGCAGTCTCTTGCCCTTGCACTTGACTTCCAGCCTGTCCCAAAGGAAGCAGTACATTACATACCAGAGCTAGCTAGAGAGGAAGCACCGGGATGTTTCTCAGTCTCTTCTGCGTCACAGACCCTGCACTGCCCCACTCAGCCGAGGGTCCCTCTGAAAGTCCAGCATTTGGGACAACCTCAGGCTCTGTGTCTCCAGCACTGTCGGCCCCGCAGACAGCCGGGTAATTTGTGCTGGCAGCAGGAAACGCCACCATCTCTGTCCTTGCTGGGCTGGTCCTGCTCGGGGCCATGAGCAGCAAAATCCTTCTTCATCATCATCCGCCTCATTCCCGTCTCGGCAGCTGCAGTAAATCTGCCTGTCAGCGCGCCCTGTCGGGACACATGGTCTGGTCATCTGTGGCAGGGAATGATTTTGACACGCAGGTTGCTCGGCATGTGGAGCGGGAGTGTCTCTCTCCTGGTGTAGGGGTGGGCCGGGGTCTCTCCTGGCGCTGCCGGGGGGACACAGTGATCCCCCTGCTCTGCTCTCCCTCCGGCAGCGCAGCTGGTCTGTGTGTGCTGGGACGGGGGGAGCGGGGACAGCCCATCCCTCCCTCCCCGATGGCAACAGCTCATTTCCATTTAGATAGAGGAATTTCAATCTCAGTTTGCCGGTTACTTGTCTCGCTGCGACTCAAGACCCAAATTTTCAATTATCTTCTCCAGGCCACGCCAGTTGCTCTCGGGGCTCGAGGATTGGGGGCGGTTGGGAACGAGAACGCGAAGGATGATCCGTTTGTGGCTCCGCGGGTACCGCGGCTCCTCCGCACCCTGACCCGCGGCACCGCCGGAGCGCTCCCAGCGCCCCTCGCTGGTCCCGCCCTGGAGCACAGGAGACACCGGCGAGACCTGGGTGGAAGCGCTGCCCTATTTGGAGGCGGTTGGAGCGCGGCTGCCGCCTGCCGACAGCGCTGGGAACAGCAGCGCCGTGAGAGGGCGAGGCGGGGCGGTGAAGAGGCGGGGCCATGCACGTAGAGGAGTGGTCTGGCCGTGAGGGGGCGCGACCTGGCGGGGGGGTTGGGAGTTTGGTAAGGGGGTTGGGAGTTTGGTGAGGGGGCGGTCCATGCCGTGAGGGGCGCGTGCCCGCTACGGCGGAGGTGGCGGCGGCCATGGCGGCTGTGTCGGTGTCGGAGGCGCGGCTGCGGCGCAAGCAGCTCCTCAACGCGGAGGAGGCGGAGCTGTTCGAGCTGGCGCAGGCGGCGGGCAGCGGGCTGGACCCAGAGGTGTTCCGGTGAGCGGGCGGGAGGGGGACAGCCCTGCGGGAGCTCGCGGCTGCCGCCGCGCTTCCCGCCTGACGGGCGTCCCCTCCCCCCTCAGGGTGCTGCTGGACCTGCTGCGCATGAACGTGGCGCCGCTCGCCGTGTTCCAGGTGCTGAAGTCGATGTGTGCCGGGCAGTGGCTGCCGCCGGGGCCCGAGGGCGGCCCCGCCGCCACAGCACCGCTGCCCGCGGACACCCGAGGTACGCGCCAGGCCGGGCTGGGCCGGGGCGGGCGGGCGGCGACGCCGGGTGCGGAGCCCCCTGGGGACCTTCCCGTGCACCCTTCCGGGGCCGG